ATGGTAGTTTGAGGATCTAAATGGTTTTGGATATAACACAATCACTAAACTAGAATAAATTATTAGTATTATTCTGATGATTATAATAGCGTTTTTGTTAATGTGTGACTTTTACATATACGATAATCAAGTGCTTTTGATCATGCTTGAGAATGACAGGTATTGATGTTTTTTATTGTTCATCATTATCATCATTGGATCATATTATTTTTTGATATTATTTTTGTTATTATTATATTATTATTATTATTATTATTATTATTATTATTATTATATTATTTATCATATTAATTGTTAATTTTATTATTATTGTTATTATTATTATTATTCATTATTATTATTATTATTATTATTATTATTATTATTTTATATTATTATTATTATATTGTTGTTTTATATATATTTGTTAATTATTATTATTATTATTATTATTGTATTATTATTATTATTATTATTATTATTTTATTTATCATCATCATCATTGTCGTTATAATCATCATTCAGTATTTTTTTATTATTATTATTATATTATTATTTATTATTATCATTCATCATTATCATATATCATTATCATTATGATTTCATTACTAGTATTTCTTTTGTGTTATATTATTGTTATGAAGATGATAATTGATATCAATAATGAAATATAATTGATGATCATGATAATAACGATAACAATGGTAAAAAGGATAATGGTTAAGATAATGATGATAATAATAATAATAATCATCACTGTAATGATAATAATGGTAATAGTATTTTTTTTACTATTATTATTATTGCTCTCTCTGTCTCTCTCTCTCTCTCCTCTCTCTCTCTCTCTCTCTCTCTCTCTCTCTCTCTCTCTCTCTCTCTCTCTACTCTCTCTCTCTCTCTCTCTCTCTCTCTCTCTGTCTCTCTGTCTCTCTCTCTCTCTCTCTCTCTCTCTCTCTCTCTCTCTCTCTCTCTCTCTCTCTCTTCTCTCTCTCTCTCTTCTCTCTCTCTCTCTCTCTCGTTCCCACTTTTTCCGCCACGATTAAGGAATCTCGATCTAATACTAATTAAAGCCAGCCGACGCTTCAATACGCCATTATGCAAACCCTAGTTAAATGTATTGCTATAATTTTGGCTCTAATTTTTTTGGCCATTATTTTCGGCCATTTTCAACCCCGATCATTCATCATCTCCCTTCATCCTCTCCATTCATTCTATCCATTTTCCCCTCTTCCCTTTCATCTTTTCCCCCAATTTTCCCTCCCCTTCTAATCCCTTTCTTTCCTCCCTTCAACCCCTCACCCCCCCACCTTCTCTCTCCCCCCATTTACGTAGAGTAAGATTGCCCTTTAATCACGAGGAGACCCCCCCCCACCCCATCCCACCCCCCACCCTCCATCGTCTCCCCTCTCTGTAATGTCTCTTTTCATTATCTCCCCCTTTTCAGTGTTCAGCTCCCCTCCCCCTCTCCCCTCTTCTTTCCTCTTCCCGCAGTCTCTCTCTCTTTCTCTCTCGCTCTCTCTGTTTTTTTTTCTCTCTCTTTTGAGTGTCGTCCTCTCTGCGAGCCATTTTGTTTGGTTCTCTCCTTTCTCTTTATTTGTTAATATTTTTTTGTGGTTTCTCTCCGTTGGGTCTCTCGTTCCCTTTCTCTCCTTTCTCTTCTCTCTTTCTTGTTCTTGCGTTCTCTTTCTCTTCTTCTGCGTCTTCCTCTGTCCTTTCTTCTTTCTTCTTTCGCTCCCTCTCTCCCGTTCTATCTCCCTCTCCCTCGCCTCACCTCTCACCTTCTCCCTCTCCTCACACTCTTGCCCTCTCTTTCTCTCCCTTCTTCTTCACCCCCTTCTCTCTCTGTCTCTCTCTCTTCTCTCTCTCTCTCTCTCTCTCTCTCTCTCTTCTCTCTCTCTCTCGTCTCTCTCTCTCTCCTCTCTCTCTCTCTCTCTCTCTCTCTCTCTCTCTCTCTCTCTCTCTCTCTCTCTCTCTCTCGCTCTCTCTCTCTCTCTCTCTCTCTCTTCTCTCCGTCCCTCCCTCTCTCTCTTTCTGTCTTTGTCTGCCTCATATATTTTTACCTAACCATCTATTTATTCACCAATCTCTCTCTGTTTCTCCCTTATCTCCCGTCCACACGCGCTCACGAGAGCAAGTACATTCAAGCACAGACACACGCACACACGCACACACGCACACACGCACGCACGCCCATGCTGTAGTTCACTATTGATTACTTCATCTTAACGGTTACATGTTCGTCCGCTCTCATCTCTTTCTCTCTGACCCACATTTTTATCCGTTTCATTCTCCCCTGTTTCGTTTTTTTCCTCTCTCTTTTCTTGTTTTTCTTTTCCTTCTTTTTTTGTCTTCTCTTTTCATCCCCCCCCCCTGCTATTTGCTATTTTTGTTCCTTGGTTCTCTCTTTTCCCTTCCTTTCTCTCCTTCCGTTTGCTTCTTCCCTTCTTCATTTTGCTCTTTTCTGTCTTTCTTCTATCTTTCCATCTTCGCTTGTACCCTCCTTCCTCTTCCCTTTGCCATCTTTCTCTTCCTTTTCGAACCTTTTTTTTTTTTTGCTTCCTCCTTCTCTCCTCCTCTTTTTCTGTTCCTTCTCGATTATTGCATCCGTCTTTGTTTTTATCCTTCGTGTTTCTGCTTGGCGATGGCGACTGCTTGCACTGAAGCGTTGTGAGATCTGAAATCCGGGAAGTGGATTCGTGTCTGGCCTTTTGCGTCCTCTCCCCCTCCTCCTCTTCTCTTCTCTCCCTCTTCTCCCTCTCGGCTCTTCTCTCACTCTTCTCCCTCCCGGCTCTTCTCTTCTTTCTCTCCTTCCTCTCTCTTCTCTTATCTCTCCTCCCTTCCCCCTTTTTCTTTCTCTCCCTCCTTCTCCCTCTTCTCTTCTCTCCCTCTTCTCCCCCCATTTCTCTCCCTTCTCTTCTCTCGCTTCCGACTCTTCTCTCCCCTCCTCTCCTCTTCCTCTTCTCTCCCTTCTCTTCTCTCCCCTCTTCTCTCTCCCTCTCTCCTCCCGGCTCTTTGGTTGTCTGTTTATTTCTCGTACTTTCTGTTTCCTCGTCTGTCTCTCTTTCCCCCTGCTTTTTTCCCCGTTTTCTCTGTGTCTTTTTCTTTCTACTGCCTCCCTCTTTGCCTGTCTGTCCTCTCCACTTTCTCCCTCTTTGCCTTTCTCTTCTTTCTCCCACATTCTTCCACTTCCCCCTCTTTGCCTGCATGCTTTTTTTTTCTCTCTCTCCTCCCACTTTCTCTTCTTTACATGTCTGTCTCTTTCTCTACTTTCTTTTTCTTCTCTTTCTGCCTCTCTCTACTTCTTCCCCTTTGCCTGTCTCTTTCTTTCTCCCAATTTCCCCTTCTCTCGCTCCATCTCCCTTTCCTTATTTCCTCCTCTCGTGCATACCGCCAATCTGTCTCTTATTTGTATATATATATATATATATATATATATATATATATATATATATATATATATATATATATATATATATATATATATATATATATATATATATATATATATTTATATATACTCTCTCTCTCTACTCTCTCTCTCTCTCTCTCTCTCTCTCTCTCTCTCTCTCTCTCTCTCTCTCTCTCTCTCTCTCTCTCTCTCTCTCTCTCTCTCTCTCTCTCTCTCTCTCTCTCTCTCTCTCTCTCTCTCTCTCTTTTAGATTTTTTTGTGGTTATTAATAGAATTGTTTTTTATTGATCTAATGGTTATCAGTGACATCATCATCATCAGTATCACATCATCATTATTATTTTTTATTATCGCAGATTATTGTGTAGATATCTATATACTCCCAATATTATTGGTATTAATAGATTATTGGTGATATTAATAGCATACTCCATTATATTACAATATTATTGGTGATATTAATAGCATACTCCATTATCTTCATTATCTTTTACAAGGAGGATGCATTTGAGAAGTTGTTGATGACTTGATGAATGCAACATACCCAAATGACGTCGTTGTGTTTCAATTAATTTTCATCACCAGCCAGTCGATAATCAAATGATTATCATCCCCAATCTGTCACTCTGCCACGATTCATCACCTGGCTGTCAGGTGTACCTCCGCCACAATAACAAAAAACGGAGGGATTGTAACAGTGATGATGATTATGGTGGTGATGATGATAATGTTGATGATTAATGATAATGTTGGTTTAATTAAGGATAATGTTGATAATTTGATAATGTGATAATGATGTTGATGATTAATGATAATGTTGGTAATTAGGATAATGTTGATTAATTAATGATAATGTTGATAATGATAATGTTTGATGATTAATGATAATGTAATGATAAATGTTGATAATTAATGATAATGTTGATAATTAATGATAATGTTGATAAGTAATGATAATGATAATTAAGGATAATGTGAATTAAGATAATGTTGATAATTAAGGATAATGTTGATAATTGATAATGTTGATAATGATAATGTTGATGATTAATGATAATGTTGATAATTAATGATAATGTTGATAATGATTGTTTAGTATTATAATAATTATAGTAATAATGCTAATGATGATGAGGATCAAGATGATCACCATCATTATCTTCATTATCATTATTGCTAGTATTATTATCACCATTATTATTTTTTATCATTATCATTAGTGTTGTTGCCGCCGTTGCGTTGTTATTGTTTTTATATATTATTATTTATTATTATCATTCTTGCTATTATTTTTTTATTATTGTTTGTTATTGTTAGTATTATCATTATCATTATTATTATTAATAATATTATTTTGTTATTATTATTATTATTATTATTATTATTTGTATTATTGTTATTATTATTATTATTATTATTATTATTAATTATTATTATTATTATTATCATTATTATTATTATCATTATTGATATTGTTATAGACTTATATAACATGGTAGCAGAGGTTGTAGAAGCTTGTAGGCTGGCAGGCGAGGATGCGCGCCGCCTCGCAGGATGGCCAGAGAGGATGCTCGAAGGATTTAAAGCCAGCGGGATGTTTGCTTCGCGTTGTTTACCCTCGCTCACGCCACAACAGCAGCGGTCTCCTCGGCGCCACGAGCAGATGCACACGCAAACACGGCTGTCTTTCTGCTCGGCTTCCTTTGTTTACTCCGGACGGTGTGCGCCGCTCGGCTGGCTTCCTCGGCGGCTCTGGGGGTGTGGTGGTGTGGGTGTCTGTGGTTGGGTGCCTGTTGGGTGGGTGTCTGGCTGGGTGGGTGTCTGCTGGTTGGTGTCTGTTGGTTGGGTGTCTGCTGGTTGGGGTTGCTGGGTGCCTACTGGTTGGGGTTGGGTGCCTGCTGGTTGGTGCCTGGGTGGGTGGTGGGTGGTGCCTGCTGGGTGGGTTGCCTGCTGGGGGTGCCTGCTGGGGTGGTGCCTGCTGGTTGGGTGTCCCTGGTTGGGTGTCTGCTGGATGGGTGCCTGCTGGGTGGGTGCCTGCTGGGTGGGTGCCTGTCTGGTTGGTGTCCTGCTGGTTGGGTGCCTGCTGGTTGGGTGCCTGCTGGATGGGTGCCTGCTGGGTGGGTGCTGCTGGTTGGGGTGCCTGCTGGTTGGGTGCCTGCTGGATGGGTGCCTGCTGGGTGGGTGCCTGCTGTGTTAGGTCTGCTGGTTGGGTGCCTGCTGGATGGGTGCCTGCTGGTTGGGTGTCTGCTGGTTGGGTGTCTGCTGGTTGGGTGCCTGCCTGGTTGGGGTGTCCTGCTGGTTGGGTGCTGCTGGAGGTGCCTGCTGGTTGGTTTGCCTGCTGGTGGGTGGCCTGCTGGTTGGGTGTGCTGGTTGGTGCCTGCTGGTTGGGTGCCTGCTGGATGGGTGCCTGGTTGGTTGCTGCTGGTTGGGTTGCCTGCTGGTTGGGTTGGGTGGGGTGCCTGCTGGTTGGGTGTCTGCTGGTTATGGTGCCTGCTGGTTGGGTGTCTGCTGGTTGGTGCCTGCTGGTTGGTGCTGGATGGGTGCTGCTGGTGGGTGCCTGCTGGTTGGGTGCCTGCTGGTTGGGTGTCTGCTGGTTGGGTGCCCTGTGGTTGGGTGCCTGCTGGATGGGTGGCCTGATGTTGGTTGCCTGCTGGTGGGTGCCTGTGTGGGTGCCTGTGTGGGTGCCTGCTGGTTGGGTGTCTGCTGGTTGGTGTCTGTTGGATGGGTGCCTGCTGGTTGGGTCTGCTGGTTGGGTGTCTTGCTGGTTGGGTGCCTGCTGGTTGGGTGTCTGTTGATGGGTGCCTGCTGGTTGGTGTCTGTTGGATGGGTGCCTGCTGGTGGGTGCTGGATGGGTGGCCTGCTGTTGGGTGGCCTGCTGGATGGTGCCTGCTGGGTAGGTGCCTGCTGGTTGGTTGCCTGCTAGGTGGGTGCCTGCTGGTTGGTGCCTGCTGGTTGGGTGTCTGCTGGTTGGGTGTCTGCTGGTTAGGTGCCTCTGGTTGGGTGCCTGCCTGATGGTTGGGTGCCCTGCTGGATGGGTGCCTGCTGGTCTGCTGGTGGTTGCCTGCTAGGTGGGGGCCTGCTGGTTGGGTGCCTGCTGGTGGGTCCTGCTGGTTGGGTGTCTGCTGGTTAGGTGCCTGCTGGAAATGGGTGCCTGCTGGTTGGGTGCTGCTGAGATGGGTGCCTACTGGTTGGGTGGCCTGCTGGTTGGGTGCTTGCTGGATGGGTGCCTGCTAGGTGGGTGCCTACTGGTATAGTGCCTACTGGGGTTAGTGTCCTGCTGGATGGGTGCCTGCTGGTTGGGTTCTGCCTGGTTGGGTCCTGCTGGTTGGTCCCTGCTGGATGGGTGCTGCGGTGGGTGTGTTTGGTTTGGGTGTCCCTGTTGGGATGGGTGGCCTGCTGGTTGGGTGCTGCTGGTTGGGTACCTGCTGGATTGGGTGCCTTGCGTGGTTGGGTACCTGCTGGATGGGTGCCTGCTGGTTGGGTAGCTGCTGGATGGGTGCCTGCTGGTTGGGTGTCTGTTGGTTGGGTGTCTGTTGGATGGGTGCCTGCTGGTTGGGTGCCTGCTGGTTGGGTACCTGCTGGATGGGTGCCTGCTGGTTGGGTGCCCTGATGGTTGGTGCCTGCTGGATGGTGTCTGNGTTGGATGGGTGCCTGCTGGTGGGTGTCTGTTGGACTGTTGGATGGTGCCTTTGGATGGGTGCCTGCTGGTTGGGTGTCTGGGTGTCTGTTGTCTGCTTGGTTGTGCTGCTGGTTGGGGTGTCTGCTGGATGGGTGCTGCTGGTGGGTGTCTGGTTGGGTGGTGTCCTGCTGGTTGGGTGTGTGCCTGCTGGATGGGTGCCTGCTGATGGGTGTTGCTGGTGGGTGCTGCTGGTTGGGGTGCTGCTGGATGGTCGCCTGCCTGTTGGGGTGTCTGTGGTTGGGTGCCTGCTGTTGGGTGTCTGCTGGTTTGGTGTCCTGTTGGTGGGTGCCTGCTGGATGGGTGCTGCTGGATGGGTGCCTGCGTGTGTGGTGGCTGCTGGTTGGGTGTGCTGGATGGTGTGCTGGATGGGTGCTGCTGGTTGGGTGTCTGTTGGATGGGTGCCTGCTGATTGGGTGATGTGGATGGGTGTCTGCTGGTTGGGTGTCTGTTGGATGGGTGCCTGCTGGATGGGTGTCTGCTGGATGGGTGCCTGCTGGTTGGGTGTCTGTTGGATGGGTGTGCTGCTGGATGGTGCCTGCTGGTTGGGTGTCTGTTGGGTTGTGCTGTGGTGCCTGATGGTGTGGGTAGTCTGCTGGTTGGGTGCCTGCTGGTTTGGTGGTCTGTTGGTTGGGTGCTGCTGGTGGGTGCTGGATGGTGCCTGCTGGTCTGCTGGTTGGGTGCCTGGTTGGACTGTGTTGGGTGGCCTGCTTTTGGGTTGGGTGTCTGTTGGTTGGGTGCTGCTGGTGGGTGTCTTGCTGGATGGTGCTGCTGGGTGGGTGTCTGCTGGTTGGGTGCCTGCTGTGGTTGGGTGTCTGTTGGTTGGTGTTGCTGGGTGGGTGTCTGCTGGTGGGTGTCTGTGGTTGGGTGCTGCTGGATGGGTGTCTGGGGTGGTGCTGCTGGTGGGTGCTGCTGGGTGGTGCCTGCTGGGTGGTGTTGTTGTTGGTGCCTGCTGGTTGGGTGCCTGCTGGTTGGGTGTTGCTGGTTGGGTGCCTACTGGTTGGGTGCTGATGGTTGGGTGTCTGCTGGGGTGGGTGCCTGCTGGGTGGGTGTCTGTTGGTTGGGTGCCTGCTGGATGGGTGGGTGGCCTGTTGGTTGCTGCTGGTTGGGTGCCTGCTGTTGGGTCTGCTTGGTGGGTGCCTGCTGGTTTGGGTGTCTGCTGGGTGTGGGTGCTGCTGGTTGGGTGTCTGCTGCTGTGGTTGGGTGTCTGCTTGGTTGGGTGCTGCTGTTGGTGCCTGCTGGTAGGTGCTGCTGGTTGGGTGTCTGCTGTTGGGTGCTCTGCTGATTGGGTGCCTGTGGTTGGTGTGCCTGGCTGGATGGGGTGTTGCCTGCTGGGTGTGGGTTGCTGTTGGGTGTGCCTGCTGGTTAGGTGCCTGCTGGTTGGGTGCCTGCTGGTTGGTGTCTGCTGGTTGGGTGCTGCTGGTGGGTGCCCTGCTGGGTGGGTGGCCTGCTGGGTGGTGCCTTGCTGGTTGGGTGTCTGCTGGTTGGGTGCCTGCTGGATGGGTGCCTGCTGTAGCCGTGGTTGGTGCCCTGCTGCTGGGTGGGTGCCTTGCCTGCTGTTGGTGCCTGCTGGATGGGTGGATGGGTGCTGCTTGGTTGGGTTGCCTGTGGTTGGGTGTCTGCTGGTTGGTGCCTGCTGGATGGGTGCTGCTGGTTGGTTGCCTGCTGGGTGGTGCCTGCTGTTGGTGTCTGCTGTTGGTGCCTGCTGGTTGGGTGCCTGCTGGATGGGTGCCTGCTGGTTGGTTGCCTGCTAGGTGGGTGCCTGCTGGTTGGGTTGCTGGTGGGGTGCCTGCTGTTGGGTCTGCTGGTTGGTTGCTGGTTGGGTGTCTGCTGTTGGGTGCCTGCTGTTGGGTGCCTGCTGGTGGGTGCCTGCTAGGGTGGTCCTGCTGGTTGGGTGCCTGCTGGTTGGGTGTCTGCTGGTTGGGTGCCTGCTGGTTGGTGCTGCTGGATGGGTGCCTGTTGGTTGGCCTATGGGTGCTGGGTGGTTTGGGTGCTGCTGGTTGGGTGTGCTGGTTGGTTGGTGGTGCTGTTGATGGGTGCCTGCTGGTTGGGTGCCTGTTGGTTGCCTGCTGGTTGGGTGTCTGTTGGTGGGTGCCTGCTGGGTTGGGTGTCTGTTGGATGGGTGCCTGCTGGGTGGTGTCTGCTGTTGGGTGCCTGCTGGTTTGGTGCTGCTTGGGTTGCTGGGGTGGTTGCTGCTGGTTGTTGCTGCTGGTGTGGGTGCCTGCTGGTTGGGTGCTGCTGGTTGGGTGTCTGCTGGTTGGTGCTGTGGTTGGTTGCTTTGGGTGCTGCTGGTTGGGTGCTGATGGTTTGGGTGCCTGCTGGATGGTGCCTGCTGGTTGGGGTGTGCTGGTTGGTTCCTGCTAGGTGGTGCCTGCTGTGGGTGCCTGCTGGATGGGTGCCTGCTGGTTGGGTGTCTGCTGGTTAGGTGCCTGCTGGATGGGTGCCTGCTGGTTGGGTGCTGCTGATGGGTTGCCTACTGGTTGGGTGCTGCTGTTGGGTGCTTGCTGGATGGGTGCCTGTAGGGGATGGGTGCCTACTGGTTGGTGCTGCTACTGGGGGTACCTGCTGAGGGGGTGCCTGCTGGTTGGGTACTGCTGGATGGGTGCCTGCTGGTTGGGTATGCCTGGTTGGGTGTCCTGTTGACCTGCCTGGTTGGGTGCCTGCTGGTTGCCTGCTGGATGGGTGCTGCTGGTTGGGTACCTGCTGGATGGGTGCGCTGGTTGGTACCTGCTGGATGGGTGCCTGCTGGTTGGTGTCTGGGTTGGGTTGTTGGATTGGGTGCTGCTGTGTTGGTGCCTGCTGGTTGGGCTGGATGGGTGCTGCTGGTTGGGTGCCTGATGGTTGGGTGCCTGCTGGATGGGTGTCTGCTGGTTGGGTGTCTAGAGCCCTAATTGCGTGCTTGTGCTTGTGTGTCTGCTTGGTGGGGATTTTTTATT